TTTTTAACCTAGGCCGGCGAGTGGCACCGCTGTCAGTTCCGTACGCATATCCATAAGTGTGTGGCAACGTGTCAGCTACAGGTTTGGGGTCCTTGGTCAGGGATGCGCGTGTGTTTTCCGCCCCTACCACCAACCTCATGACAAGCCAAACTTATGCACTGAAACCTCCAACCTGCAAAAGTTGCCTAATTATTGGTTACGGCCGGATTTTGTGCGGACTGGAGTGTCCGCCCAAATGATACGGGGCAACCCATGGGAACCTCCACGAATCAAGCATGAAATGGAAGCTGGTAGAAGAACTCATTGCCATAAGTTTATGCTTTTCCACCTAGAGGCCGGCTTGTCTCCATAGGATTTTTCACGAATTTAACATTGACAACTGGTCCTTGCTTAGGGTTGGGGCAATTCCTTCACTTTGGTCTAGCCAACACGAAAGCCACCGGCTCCGGATTCCAAATTGTTGAAAGTAAAGGCTTCACTGACGCCTCTATGGTTGGAGGGGTTCTACGGTTGCCGCGTACCCTTGTGGCAGTCCAAGAAACACATTTGTTCTGCTCTCATCGACGGCTCGCACAACCTGAGAGCGGGAAGGCGGCGAATTAAGCCGGTGGAAGGCTGAGTCGTCTCAAAAGACTGGAAATGTCCAAATGGGATGCAGGAAGCACACATTCATCCAAAGCGGCTAAGTTCATCTGAGATGTTGGGTGGATACCCGCTTAAAAAGGTAATCCTCAAGACTTGAGACAGTATGTCAAGCAATCCGATCTTGGCAAGGCCATGATTGATCTGGGCAAGTGGTTCAAACATGTCCAGACCAATTTCGTCGCTCTTCGTCCATCCCGGTGCCAGGATCCATCGTGCTGCTCCACCAAACAATCAAGCCATCTCCAAGAAACCCCTTTCATCCTCTCCAAGGCACCCAGTTCATCTCCACCTTGGCCTTCTCCCCCTGCGAAAAGCGATGTACTCTCTGCACCACCACCGTCTCCTAGCCACACAAATGGCGGGGGGGGCAAGCGAGAGAGAGCAAGAGAGAGAGATGAGTCGCTTGCCGCGGTGGACGCGGACGGTGCCCAAGGAAAGAGGGAAGGAGACTTGTCCCACGATTAGATCCTCCAGCTACTCAACTCCAGCTTGGTTGTTCTGGACTGTGGCCTCTAATCGTTTTACCACCTTGCCAACCACAGAAGCTTGCCCAAATCTTGCTCCTTGATGTCCCAGGCGTCCCGTCCTGAGCTATGCCCCCATACTCGGTCATACTTCTAATTACGAGTTCTGGCAGGTCCTAAGTCCCCCCTGTGCCAGGTGCAGACCCGCCAAGACCGTGGACACAGCACGAATGTGCCGTCCCCCAACACCGCGGAGGATTCCTCCCCGCTGAACTCAATCCCCAGCGGTCGATGGTAGAAATGGATCTCCTGGCAAGGCCACGAACTGCTTGAAGTCCAATTTTGCAACACTCCCAAAAGGATAGAGATGGCAACAGTTCAACTGTTCAACGGCTTTGTTTTCGATAAGTTACACCATGTTACACATATCACTTCTGAACTGGGCTCAAGAACAGGGTGGCACCAAAACTCGCTGGCATATGTTCAGCTGGCCCCTTACTCCGAGTGGATTACAAGACACGTGACATATGGCTAGTTAGGCCTAGTACAACAAACTTGAGGCCGAGGGTAGGTGACGAAAGCTAGCAGGGATGCATCCGTGTCAGTGGAGGCGAAGCATACAGCGCCGTCCAGTGACAAAGGACTGGTGGGACATCAAGCGGAGTGAGGCAAATCTTTTTTCATAGGCATGGGGCTGTTGGAGGGATGGTTCACAAGGTCTCGCTCATGAGGTACAACGTTGTGAACATGCAAGACACACGAACAGCAATGACACAGCCAACCTTAGCTTGTGAATCTGTTGCATCGTATCCCAAAACCTCCACGGAGGAGTTGAACCAAAGTGGATGCCATAAGATGTGTCCAAGAGGTGTCCGTCCCAGAGGCGTCCCAGGGGGGAGTTGTTCCAGCCCCTCACTTGCTAAAGCAAGGACAACTCCAGCTAGCTGATGCTAGCTTTCGTGATGTTCGTTGCTTTGAGTGTAATCTTTGTCAGGGAACCCCCCCCTGGCCGAGATCCCTGCGACACCCGTTGTTCCATGCCCCCACCTTCTCGTGGCCATCAGGCCGTTCGAAGGTCACCACCACCCTCCTCATGCGTGCTCACGGTTCTGCACGGGTGTTGTTCATCTGCTCATCATCGTGTTGCAGTAGCAGCTTGCGGGAGACATCTTCTCTGAGATGCTGGTTTGCAGTAGCTTTAGCGTGCTCAGCTACTATGAAGAGGTCACCGAACTGTACATCCCACAGTTTCGTTCGACATTGTCAAATTTTGGAGTTCCTCAGTTGAGCACACAATTGTTTACTCTCCCCAAATAAACCCAAATACACCAACGAAGCGTTGAAGCTCTGGCCTTCTCTGAGTGGAATCCTCGGGAGCTTGCTGGTTCTGATCCTTAGACAGTTGAAACTGAGTAGAGTCGAAAGCCAAGTCCATTCGAGAAGAAAGACTCATCCCTTCCTACATGTCACGGTTGACACGAAGCCAGCCTCCGGTTCAGTAGTGCATCTAAGCATTTGGGGGCAAAAATGTCGGCACTGTGCAAGCCACTGGATGTAAATGAAACTGTAGATGGTAGATATAAGCTGGTTCTAGCTGCTAGCTATGATGCCACTGGGCCGCGCTTCACACCTGGCAGACTGGACTAATCACTGCGCCACAGCCGGACCCGTTTCTTCTCACAGGTCTTCTCGTTGTTCTCGCCGAGCACTGCAGCCGAGCCACCAAGCCTGTGATCCACTCCTCGGGGCTTTGCACCGTCAGGGTCTCCACGCATGGCGTGCAGGGGCCATTGGCTCCACTGGCCTCGGTGAATGAACACAGGCGGAACGGAGGAGACATCATATATATATATATATATGTGTGTGTGTGACTTACATATGTATGTGACATATATATATATATGTACTTGAGAGTCACACACTTCCCTGACCCAAGTGCCAAATAATCTGCTCCCCTCGCACCTCGTCAGAAGTGCAGCAGAACATTGTCGACGTGCTCAGCACATGGCCTTCTCAACGTTCAGAATGTATCCGACTCTGGCTCAGAACAACCGCACTGAGACTGTGCGGGAAGCTTGACTGTCGCTCATCCAGGCCCCAGAGAAGACCAAGTACTGAGAGTTCCAAAGTTGCTTGTCTTTGCTTCTGGCTATTAGGTTGGAGGCCATCGCTATTAGGTTCGAAGCCATTGCTATTGGGATGGAGGCCATCGCTACTCACAAACGAAACTCCCAAGATCTGCCTGGAGTGTCAGTCAAAACCGCCGCGCCGCCGCTGGAGCCGGAGGCTGAGAACGAAAACGCGCACAAGTTGACCAGCGGAACTTGTGCTTGTTGAGCCCACCCTTCAGACTTCACAAAGCTCGATGCCATGTGGTCTGACCTACTCGACAACCACAGCAGGACAGTCGAGATTCTGGACCCAAACTTCCATGAATTCCAGATTGTAGTGCATTGGCTTCATTGGCAGTCGCACAACTCGGAGATCCTCGTTGCACTCATGCCCTAGAAGAGCTACCGACCCCCCACAATCCTCCTCCCATCTGGGCCTGCTCCAAATGTGCTCGACACACCCTCTTCAAAGCCTGAGCGAAACAACAGGTGGCAACACACGTCCGCGTGTAGCGGGAACCAAGAATGTTGTACCCTCTGGTGCTCTGGTCGATGAAACCCTTAATTTGATGCATGTCTTTGACTGCAGCCGCGTTCATAAATCAACATTGGCATGTGTCGAGGGGGCCCTAAGTGATGCAAACCAGGGGCTGTCCTGATCTGAGGCACAACTGCCTGTCAACTCCCAAGTGCTTTCAACACCCGCAGACTGCTGAGTTGCAGACATACTCTTGTCCACCCTGATCCACAACCGAGACATCAAGTAGTCAACGTGGATCCGGGATGCATGAGAAGCTTCTGGAGGCAAGGACCCTCTGTGCATCAACAAACTGAGTCCACAGAATCATCATGCAAAGCACCACCAACAAGCACCAAACCTTCTCTTTTCCCCAATGACGCTCTCTTGGCGGTGAACACGGCGTAAATTCTACAAGAGCACCCTCATTGCTCACGGACAAGTTCGCTACCCTTGAGTCTCTGCTTCACTTTGGGGCGCTTCGAGGATGACGTAACATCGGCGTCCAACTTCAAACTGCCGAGATCGTTCTCTCCAAAGCCTCGGTCGAGATTGATCCCACAGCAGCCAAGGAGGCCCGCCCAAAAGGGCTCCAAAGGCTAGTGAATAGATCTATATAGAATGATCTACAGTACAGTAGATAGATGGCACAACAATGGACAAGTGGTGTTTTTGTTCAGTCACTCATTCTGTGTTGGCGGAACACCCGTCCCAGGGCCAAGCAGCCGCCGTTCATCACCTTCTCCCACTTCAAGCGAAGCCGTCGGTTCCCGAGCACCGACAAATGCGCACGGATGGCCTCCGACAACGCCTCGCGCTGGTCACCACTGGCCATTTGCATGGCTCTCTTGACGACATAGTGCCTCAGCAACCAAGGGACAAAAAACAGTCTGTCACTTTTCTCACTCTACAGAACATGCACTCAGACAAATTTAAGTAGATAGGAGGCGATATGTGACGTGTCAAGTCAGTGTTGGAACTCGTTTTCTATAATTATCTGATATCTCTGGTTCGGTAGCCTTTGTCTGATCTTGACTAAGCTGGCTCTTTAGGATTCAATTGAGGTGGCTAAGGCTGCGTGTTTTCACAAGACCTGAAGCATGGACACTATGGCCACGGTGCCCATAATTGCTGTTCACCAGCACTGACATCTTGTCGCTCTCCACCAGCTCCCAAATGAACTTCCTCCGGAACTCAGGAGGTGCTATGGTGAGGAGCTTCTCCACCACGTTGGAGGAAAACTTCTGGATGCTGAGTTGCATCATCCGACCCTCCAACTTCTCCAGGATCGGCTCACAGTCACGACCCCCCCACTCCTCCAAGGCATGTTGAATGGCATAGTTCCCATAGGGACTCTGAACCAAGTCCATGGCGTGCCGTGCCAGCTGCTCCAAGAGGAACTCACGATGATGACGCGCCAAAGAGATGCACTTCTTCAGCACGCAAAGTCCATAAGGGTGGTGTGCCACCTCGATGATCCGATCACCGATGATCAAAAAAATCCAATCCGTCACAGAGCCTTGGAAGCAGGTCAGAAGTCGTTGGATCACATGTGTTCCATTGGGATCCATGCTGAGCTCCACGATCTGGCCTTTGACCGCACCCATGAGTTGATCCTGCTCCTCCTCCAGCTGTAAAAGCTCAATGAAGGCTTGCAGGGCATGGGTGCCCCGCTTGTCGCACGCGATCTGCGCCACGCACGGGGCCAACTTCTCCAACATGCGCCTTCGTTGAACCTGGGAGCAGGCTTGGAAGGCGGCGCTGCAAAGGTAGTTCCCGTAAGGATCGCACATCATGGAGGCAATCTCTTCCTCCACTTCCTTCAGGATTACCTCCACAGCAGCACCTGGCAAAGCAAAAAAAGAACTGGGACCCCTCCTTGGGATTGGCTTTCGAAGCTCCGTTCTTTGAAAAACCCGGCCCTGCCCACCTGAACCTTTGAGGAGCTGACGCTGGAGGTATTTACTGCCCGCTTGCGTCCGAGACATCTGGCCAACTTGCCCCACCAGCTCTCGCGCTTCGCTGGGCACGCTCGACAGATCCCTCCTGGGAAAATGGATTGAGGCAACGCGCAGACGCGTATATATATATATATGTTTACATGTGTTTTTCAATGCAAAAGGGACCTGAAAAAAGAGGAAAGAACTGTATGTGGCCGGTGTATCATGTGCAATCAGTCAATCAGGCCACATGGTGCAAGCATCTACCCGAACTTGGGGTTGATCTTACCCATGCCTTTCCAAAACCTGACGCTAGCACCTGGAGAATTCAGATTGCTATCTTGTTCCAGTCCTCTTGTGATCTGCGGATTGGCTTCCACTGCTTGCATCAGAGGAGGTTCTGGCGTGCGTCTGAGGTGCCAAGCCATTCTCCTTGGATGCCACCTCCTAGCCACGGGAACAAGACTCCAATGACTTCAACTAAAGACACCATTGCCGCCACCTCTCGAGCACTTCAATTTCTCAAAATCTTCCCTGTTATAGACTCTGGTCCGGCTGGAACAGTCCAAAAGGACTCTCTTAGGACAATTAGGACCTAGGCGACCTAGGGGGTCGCCTAAATCCATGTCGTCACCTGGCTTAATGTCCCAACTGGAGTCCTTTGGTTGGATAACTCTTTGGGTGATGGGGACGGTGTGATCAACAAACTGAAGATTCAACAGCATAGCATGGCTCTATATAGAGATTTGGCCTACTTATAGCGACGAGGCTGAACAGGTAAACTCACGCCACCTCCAGTCAAACACGGTGGCCCCGATCCACATCGAAGCGCCTTCCCATTGACGTTGGGTTTAGGGACCTCAGAAGCACCCATAGGCGGCATAGGACCCATCCGCGGCCAACCCAAAGCCGAAGCAGCACCCCAGTGATAGGCCTGAGACGTTGGGAAGCAATCTGGTAAGGGCTGCATGGGAGCCCCAGAACAGGCTTCCAAATTGTCACACTTCCAAGCAAACCTTTCAGCAAGAAAGGTTTTGCCCGCTTTTGGTCCCGTCTCGAGCGGTCCCCTTAGTATTGTGCTGCACGCAATCTTGACTCCAGTCACTTCACGTGCCTCGTATGCGGCATATGCCTACCCTGCCTGAAAGCTCATGGCCATCTGCTGCACTGTCAAAGGGTCCTGCGACCGCATGCCCGGCATGCCCCAGATCGCATGCATTTCGGGCATTGTCACCTCCGTTGGGCGAATAAAGCCCCCATAGTCCATGCCGTTCGTGACGTTCGTGGAAGCACCTGCAGAGGATCTACAGCGGACAAGGATTGATGTCAAGATGTTCCATTCCACACAAATCAGAAGCTACTAGGAACAAAGGGTATTGCTACTAGGAACAAGGACGCTACTAGTAGCTCCTGGCCTTAATACTAGTAACAAGTGCGGAGATGAATTGGGCTCTAAATGCGAAAAGCGAAAAGCGCGGCTTTTTGCAGCAAGTGCGCTTGATCAAGCTGCAGAAACAACCGAACTAGCCGTCGACAACCACCGCACGTCAACTTTCACATTGGAAAGGAAGGGTGTCGGCTTGTTCGGCATTGCATGAATTCGTTGGCGCTGCCAACTGCTAGGGTTTCACGTGGCTCTGCCACCACCTTTCTCATGGCTCTGCCATGTACTCTTTTGGCTCTGCCATGAAGTGGACTTCGCTGAAGTCGTCATCTGCTTCGATCGGACTTTCCGACGTTCTCGTTGTCCCTTTCTTAGCTGCTTGCGGTGCTCTTCGATCTCACGTTCCTCCGGCGTCTCTTTGAGGCTGATGGTCTTCTTCCGTAGGTATTCCTCCCACAGCACATTTCTCATGCCCTTTGTAAGGCCGTCAGCGTGCTGTCGATGGGTCGGTACCCAAAACAACCTGTAGATCTGTTGTTCCAACAAGTCTTTGGCGACAAGCAATTCCAACATGGTTTGCCTTTCGGCTGGAATTTGACCAGTTGCTCCAAGATGATCGAAAAGAGATTTCGCGTCGGTCACGATGCCACCGCCAACGCGAAGCTTCTCTCGCCAGTCGGAGCCAACCTTGAAGACACCATGCAACATCATGTCCGCAATCAGGCGGATGTAGAGATGCCTGTCAACCGCCACACTGAGCGAACACGATTCTGCCGCCATGGAACTTCGAACAACCCTGCTGCTCTTGTTGGTCGTATAGTCGATTGCTGCAGCTGGTTGTGGTCCATGAATGACATCTTCATTGGACAGGAAATGAATCGCACCTAGTTGCGATTTGCCATCCTTCTCTTTGCCCAAGCTGGCGTCGAAGTAGGTCGCCAAAAACAACTTGCCACGAATCCGAGGGTATGGCAGAACAGATCTGCCTTGGCGGGCTTCTTCTTTGCATTCTTCAAAAAGCTGGAGCGCCGCCTTGTAGTCACCCATCGTGGCTTTTGTTGCATACTGCGCCAGCTTGCTCGTCTTGTACAAAAGCTGCGGCATTGACTGCTGACCAGGCCAGCGCAATCTCATCACCAACTGTCGATATGCCGTGAGCTGCTGGGCATCAAGTGGCTTGTCATCATTCTTTTTCTCTAGCTTCATGCTTGGGAGGGCGATCTTGGCGATGTAGTTTGACATATCGTCAAAAAGTTCTTCACCCTTTTGCTTGAGGTCCACGCCAAGGAAGGTCAAAGGGATCGACTTCCACTCTTTGATCGTGAACATGTCACTCTTCAACTTCTGAAAGCGTGGATCACCTTCATCGCCAAACAAGAGCCCATCATCAACATGCAAGCTGAGAATCCTCCAGGCTTCGTTGCCTTCCGCGGCCACAAAACTGCTTTTGCTAATGGGCAGTTCTTCCAGAGGTGTGGTCGTGAGCAGCTTGCTGGCACGCAAGTACCAAAGCCTTGGGCTTTCAACCAAGCCATATGCAGATCGAAGGATCTTCATCAGTTCTCCAGCTTTCACTGGAGGCTCTCCCTCAACTGCTGGTAGACCTTCTTCTGGAGCTCTGACGTAGACGTCTCGGGTGAGGTTCTCGCCGTGGTGACATCAAATGACCACCCTTTCCAACCATTCCGAACCGCCACAGCCTTTGACGTCCGAACTGCCTGCAGCGTCGCTGTAGGGCTGTCGCTCCTGAAGTGGCCCAATCCAGGATCTCGGTCTCCAGGAACTACCAGACGGGATTTTGCCACCAACGGTGCCAGGAGTTGAGTCTGCTTGTTGACTCGCACCATTCGCAAAGGAGCCTTGAAAATGAGGTGCCTGCCCACTCTTTGGCATCTGCTTTGAGGAACTCTGCACGCTCCTTCTCATCAAAGAATTTCGGATCCAGTTCCTTGCCGCTCTGTTTGAGCTTGAGGGGCATCACCTCTGCCAGCAGGTGATCATGCAGATCTTCCAGCCAAAGATGCTCAAACTGTCGTCGCTCCTCCTCTTTCAAGTTGGCCTCATAGATCCCATCAGGAAGCTGGATGTAGGTTTTCTGTTCTGTAGACGGTGGCTCACTCTTCAAAAAGAAAGTCATTCCTCGCCATGGGAAAGATGCCCTCCGTCGGGGATGCTTTGCCGCTTCCTCTTGATCTTCTTCCACCATGAAGATATTGTCCGGATCCTTGCCCATCAGAATCGTCACCCGAGCTCGCTTGCGAGGTGGCTTCATGAACCGTTTTCGGGGAAAGCGATGTAGCCTCGCAGCCGTAATCGGCAATCCGGTGAGTTGCCTGAGCAGTTCCACTTCATGGCGGGTGATCCATTCGTTGGCAGGTCCTTCTGAAACTGTGGAAGCGAGCACCTGCATGAACAAAGCTGTGCTCGGTCTGGCCCTCTTCAAGGGGAGTTCTGAGGTAGTGGATCCTTGCAGTTTCCGCTTAATGCTGAAAGGAACATCATCTGTGAGACGCTGTCTTCGGGCCTCTGTAGGCAGTTGCTCCCAATCTGGTGGATGATCAGGACGTGGTGAATCTGCCGGCGAAGTCGGTGAATAGTCGGATAGACCACCTGAATCATCAATCGGCACATCGGCACCAGATGTAGGGGCAGGTTCCAATGGTGGCTCAGCCACAGGTGCTGGTAGTGGCTCAGCCACAACCGGAGGTACGTCCTCCAAAGCCAGGCGCCGCCTTACGACACGCGGTGCCGGTTCCAATGGCGCTGCCACGGGCTGAACAGGTAGAGGATCTCGAGGCACAAGTTCTCGATGTAGTGGAGGTTCAATTGCCGCTGGCAACTCCTTCCTCTTTTTCTGCCGTGGTAGCTGAGACATCTGAGGTCGCTGAGTCAACAGCCTTCGAACTGCCTTTGTTCCCCTCAGGATGTTCTTTGCTCTCAGCCTCTGTGGATCTTCTGGAGGACGAGGTTCTCTCTTCTTTCGAGGTCTCGGAGGCGGTGGCTTTCCTCGAAGGTCCTGGTAGATGTTAGATCTTGTTGGATCTCTCAGAAGTTCTTGGATGTCCAGGACGTCTTCATTCACCGGTTCCGAAAGTGCCAGCTCCTCGAGTTGCAAGCCTCATGTTCTCCTCGGCTAGTAGGAGTAGTCGTCCTCGCCAGCTCACAAAGTATCTTTTCTGTAGCTCTTGAACCAACACAGTAGCCGGACCACGCCATTGGCCACTGTCACGGTTGTAGCGCTTGAGCTGCGGCACCCAAAAATAGATCTGAGCACCTGACACGAATGGTCCTGTAGCTGTGGGTGGCTTGCGTAGCAATGTCCTCCTGAGCTTGTCACGGACATCTTGACGAATCAGAGCCACGAGCTGTTGTGCGCATCTTGTGTGCACGAGCCACCTCACTGTCTGCAGATAGACCGTGGACAAAGCTCATACCAACGTCATCAGCAGTTTCATTTGGGTATAGCCAGTGATGCCACGCTCATCAACAATCGCCTGAAACATGACTCCCAATGTGGCTCCGTGACGCTCTCCCGCACTCAACTGCCATGCTGCATGAGCTCCTGTCACCTTTGAGGGGATCGCTAGATCTTCGAGGAGAGCATGGAACGACTGTTCGAATTCTCCTCCTTGGTCATGAGTGACTTGAGCTGGGCATCCAGAATTTTTCTGCCACATAGTCGGAGCGACGGTTCTTGAGCATGATCGCATCGTGCTTGATGGTACCTAAGTCCAGAATACTCAAGCAAACATACTTTTTCTTTCTGGAGTCGTACAGGTACTTCAGGTCCAAATGAAGGTGCACGTTGAAGCCAAATGGTCTTGTGGATACAGTTGAAGGCTTCGGGTGTCTCGGCGCTTGTCGCGCAGCGCAAACTGAGCAATGAAACTTGCTGGCATACCTCAATGCATCCTGGCTGGCGCCACCCAATTTCAACATACGAGTCAATGAAGCACGAGTTGGGTGTCCCAGCTGCCTGTGAGCGAATTCAACAGCTTTGCGACCAGGGCACATCTTGTTCTTGAGTTCGGTCAGGGCACCATCTTCTCCAGCGATAATGGTGCGCTTCCTCATAGGCATGTGGTTGGTCGGGTGAGCTAGCCCAACCTGGCATTGATCAAACTGAACGTGCGCCAAACCATCGAAGGCCTCCTCAATCTCTGGAGTCTTCCAAGCCTTGGACGTGGCCGGATTCTCGCCAAAGACCAGGCCACCCCTCCGTCGTTGCCAAAGAGCAGCACGGCGGGTGAAGGACAAAACTGTCCGCCGGGCCTGAAGGCGGTTGCGCTGCAAAGTCAGCCGCTGAGCTTCAGTCCTCATACTGATATTCTGAAGCGGACTCCAAGGACCACACGGCCAAGCGATCATCAAAACATCAGGCTCAACCTCCTGGAGGTACTTCATCGCCTTGTTCTGACCGTCCATGGTGCTGACATCCCAACCTGACTCCAAAGAGATTGGCTCCCAAGCTTCCCAACATCCTCGCTCGGTGGCAGTGATTGACAGCATACATGACCATGTAAAGAGTTCGTCTCCCTCAGAGTCTGACGCGCTCTCATCAGCTCATGATGGTCCATCTTCGTGGGAAGACTCAGATTGGCCTGAAGAGAACGAGCCATGGCTGTCTGAGTCCGTACTGTCATCCTGGGGCTCCGCCTCCTTGATGGGGACCTTGTGCACGATCGTGGCTCTGCCACAGAGCTAGATCTTCCAGATCTGATTCTGGCTCAGCCAGAGAGTAGAAAGACACCTCAGAGTCATCTGAAGATGTCACCTCCTGCTTGGAGGGGGAAAGCTCATCTTGGCTCTGCCACCAAAGTGCCAACTTGTGTGGATCTGCTCGTAGGACAGCTCGAAGTTCTCGAAGTTCGGAGGTGTTCCAATCCTCTGCCTTACCCTCTCCAAGAATCTCGAGAACTGGATGTCGAGTTGGTGAGAGCTCTGTTGGAGTGCTGCAGCCATCAATCACCGTCATGCCCTTGGCGAAGTCCATAGTGACCTTCCAGCGCGCCAGCTCTGAAGGTCCAACCAATGCCGGGCAATTTGAAATCCGGGGATCCTGCTTGGTGTCATCCACCACAGCGACTCTCAGCCACGATCGGATGCCAGTGCCTCCCAGAACCACTGGATAAAGACCGGCTTCTGTCGACAAAACTGGGGCTCCAGCTCCGAAGCGGAAGGTCTCCTCGTGCTCCAGCACTTCATAGGGGAGATCTCGCTGGTCCAGGGCCTGGCGCATCTTCACATGCCACTTTGCACCAGCAACTGCGGTGCGGCATCCACTGTCCAAGATCACTTTACGGGCTGCGTGCTCCAGCATCCAGACATCCATGGGATCCTCCTCCAAGACCGTCTTGGCAGTGAGTGCACCATGGTCCATGCTGTAATAGAGCACCTTCTTCAACTTGCAAGCCTTGCAAGACGCCCAATGAGCGGCTCCATTCGCGCCCCACCTCAAGCTCTGCCACGGGTGATGCTCTGATGCCTCTGAAGGTCGAACTCGCCCTTTTCGATCCAAGGCACCATCATAGAGGTCCTTCCTGAACTGCTTGAGACGCTTCCGTCGAACTGGCTCAGGAAGATCACTTGTCGAAGCTGGCTCCGGTGCCGGCGTGGTCGACGAACTTGCTGCCTTATAGCCTCCATCATGCCGCTTGTCTGTTCTCTTCAGCTTCTCGGCCGTCTGACGCTGGTCCAAGTATCGGGCAGCTTCTCGATCTCTCTCTGCCTTCAGCTCCTTGTACAGCCTCCTCTTCTCTTCTTTTGACATGTACGGGAGGATCTCCAGCATATCGGCCGGTGCGAGGTCGGTTTCCATCGCCACAGGTTTTGAGCCCTTTGCTTTGCTCTTTGCTTTTGCCAGCTCTTTCTCCTTCTCTTGCAACTGCTCCTGCTTCTTCAGCAGCTTCTTCTTCAACTTGAGATCAGACTCATCAACTTCTTCAGCCAAGGCGGAAACCACTGTACGAAGAGCTGCTTTATACTTGGAAGCCTTCTTCTGAGCAGATGCTTCTTCGGACGATTTGCCGGCACTGAATCCAAGAGGTTCTTCTGGCTCTGAACTGCTGCTGGGTGAAGAGACGGCTGAACTGGAATCTGAGGAATAGGCTTTGATGCGCTGCCAACCTTCCATGAACGTCCAGTTCACTTTGCGCACATTGAGGTGTTTGGTGCTCCAAGTGTGCTTGCCACCGTCATCATCCTCTTGCTTGACCTCTTCTTTCACTCTTGTGCCACTGCCACGTGCTGTGGGCGAAGTGTCGGTGGTGAAGTTGACCTGCGACTTCGAGGGATCGTCACGTGGAGGGTCAGTCCCATTCTTCACGTTTGGACACTCAGGGTCACCATGCCAGTGTCCAATCTATTTGCATGATGCACACTTGGACTTGGCCTTCCGCTGATCCTTCGTGCGGTACTCCACGAACTTGCCACCACCTTTCTTGCCCTTCTTGCCTTTGCCTTTGGACTTGGCATCGCTATAGCCACGTGCTTTCCTTGCTTCTGCGGATTTCTGCTTGGCACGCCATCCAGCTGCATAGGCCTCTCTCAAGTCCATGCCCTCATCATCCCAATCCCAGTCACCTTCTTCATCTTCGTCATCCCAGTAGTGGTCTTGCTGATAGGCCTCTTGCTCCAGATCTTCGTTCTGGTAATAGGCCTCGTCATCACCTTCTTCTTCCGGGATGCCCTCTTCATCGTCGTCCCAATCTGGCTCTTCTTTGACGTTGGCCAGATGTGCGCGGGAGGATCGATGTGGCTTCGGGCGACTCGACTTGGAGGTAGACGAAGTCTTCCACCTGCGAGGATGATGGTGCTTGTCCTGAGGGCGGTACTTGGCCTCATCGAGATGGACATTCGAACATCGGAACCTGAGAACTTTCTCGATGGCATTGGATGCATACTTGCCGCCAGCACTGTAGAAGATGTCCATCCGCTCCTTCTTGGTGAGGGAAGCACGGGATAGCATTCTCTGGGCAAAACTCTTGTCCGACAGCGTGGCGTGGTGCCTGTGTCTTCTGCCAGGTACTCTGTTCGAAGTCTCTTCAAGGTGCTGATGTAGGAAGTGACGCTCTGACCTGGGGCACGGCGATACGTCAAGCAAGCTTCCTGGCGCTCTTCGAAGTGTTCATCAGATCTGGCACCATATGACTCCTCAAGCAGCCGCATGACTCTATTGAGTCCTCCTGGCCCAGTCCTGGCTCCCTCATCTCGGAGACTTGAAGTTGGTTCAGGATTTGACGCGGCTCTCCCTGGCATGAAAGGTAGATTAACATGGCCAATTCGGCCTCATCCAACCTGTACAGCGCCTGCTGGGCCTCAATGGTGCGCTTCCACTCTTTGAAGTGGGATCTCGAACCCCTGAACATTTCCAGGCGGACCTTTGATCGGTCCTGCTGCTTCTTCGCCTGTTGGCCCAGAAGTGCACGGATCTCACCTGTGGAAGCTGTAGATGCGCTCGAACCTGATGCTCTGGATGATGTGCGATTCGAAGCAGCCGGAGTTGATGTCACATTGGACGAAGTCGGATCCGATGACGGCGGACCTGGTGGTGGTCGTAGACGTGGATCACGAGGGTTCCTCTGATACTGCCTCGGGCCACGGCTGTCATCAGTGAGATTGGACGGCGTCACTGGCGGATCTTCTTCAAATCCTTCTGAGTCTTCACTCTCCTCCTGCTCCTCGTAGGTGTACTCGGAGTACTCCTCCTCATCATCATCTTCTCCAGGCGGATCAGGGTTCGGAGGCGCTGCCTTGGACTTCTTCGAAGGAGTCTGTGAGTCATCACGGCCAGATGGACGAGGGTCTTCATCTTGGCGTTCCTTCTTCTCCTTCTTATCCTTCTTTTCCTTCTTGTCACCCTTCTCCCCCTTCTCAGCAGCTGCAGGTGGAGGTGGTGTCTTCGTCCTCTGCTCCTTCGACTGCTCCTTCACTCGCTCCTTGTCTGAGCGATCCTTCTTCTTGTCCTTGGCGCTGCGGTCTGACTTGTCCCTGCCATCCTTCTTGTCTTTGGTTTCCTTCTTCTCTTTCTTCTCCTTCCTCGCTGCTTCCTTTGGGGCTGCCTTGGCACGAAGTCCATGTCCTTCTGGGAGTGGAACTCCTACTGAACGGTGTTGTGACGGGTGCTCCAAAGTAGATGCAGTCGAGTGAGGAGGGCCTTTCTCCCGACCTTTTGCCTGTTCAGCTTCTCGTCGAGGAAGGTGCCATGATCCGTCCATGGATGATGGCTCATAGGACAGCCATTGAGCTCCGGTCCAGAACATCCAAATGCCCGTTTGAGGTGATTGGTACCAGCCAGGTACCTGACTCGACCATCCGGCCACAGCTGACCATTAGGTGTCGGCCGTAGTTGCCATCCCTGACCCTAGGTGCGGCACAGCACCTGCCCACCGGTATTCGGTAGGCTCCGCTACCAATGCGGAGATGAATTGGGCTCAAAATGCGAAAAGCGAAAAGCGCGGCTTTTTGCAGCAAGTGCGCTTGATCAAGCTGCAGAAACAACCGAACTAGCCGTCGACAACCACCGAACGTCAACTTTCACAACAAGAAGCTACTAGTAGCAAAGGGCACCGCTACAAGCAACAAAGGGCATAGAAAAATTACCAAAAGTGTTTCAAACTTGATGCCCACCTGGTGCAGGCAATGGAGGAGGCAGAAGTGGCCCTCCCTCCAAGGCCTCCAGGAGCGGCATCCCCTCATTGAAGCGTGGTGGCAATCCCAGCATGTGCTGATTCAGGGAGGACATGGCCTTAGTCTGACGAGTCTCCACCCGTCTGGAACCCATCACTGTTTCTCAAGAAGTGGACCACTAAAGGAAAAGGACTTCCAAATGGCACTATCCCTAGTGGCACAAGGTGAGGGCGTGCTGATGGCAGCTCCACAACCATATTGATGGGTCGGCTCGGGCGTGTTCTGGACGCTATGGTGCGGCTTGGGCGACTCCAAATTATCTTTGCTCTGACCGTTCTGCTCAGGGGATGGGGTGGAGGCATCCAAGGCTGGTGTTCCACAGGAAGTGCCTGCATCTGGGTCCAGCTCATTTTCAAAAATACCTATTAGGCACCACTCTGATTAGTGTAGAACCGTCCTTGATTGAACATTTCGATACGGGGTCGTCGAGAAAAAATGGAACACCCAAGCTCAAGGCCAACCACAAAATGGCGCCTGCGGGAGTCTGGCCGTTCGAATGCTCATCAGAACCTGCCAACGGCTTCGGCCGATGCTTCAAGCCCTCCCCAAGGAGGCTGGTCATCGCCGTGCCCTCACGTGCTAGAGCCTCTGGCGAGGCCTCGGATTCCAGCAATGGCATCACCCATGGCTGGTGCCTCCGCGGCTGCGGGTGAAACGTCGCCTGCTCAGGTGAAGGAGGATGCGGCTTCGCTGACAAGCATAGCCTCAGCGCCTCCGCCTCGGAGCTGAGATCACTGAAGACCCCTCCAGGGGAGGCCGGCACCAGCACCCGGTCCGGCGCGGAGTTCGGCCGCTCCTGGGTGCGGAAGGGGTCTCCAAAGCTAAAGCTGCTGGCGTGTGGCCGCTCCTCATGCCAAAGCTTTTCCTCCGGCCGCAAGGGAGCCGGCGACCCGATGGGCGTCAGCGCCACACCTGGGGAGCGCCAGACCGAGCCCAAGCGAGCGCCTTTGTGCTCGGGCGTGCTTGGAAGACCACAATCCTCGGCCTCATCCTCCCGGATCGGTGCGATCTCACTGCTCATGGGTGATCCATGGCTTCCCCCCCGGGCGGTGCCGTTGAAATGAACCTGTCTTGAGCAGCATGTGGTCCAGGCAAAAACGAGGCCTTAAAAGCACTGCAATGGTCACACAACAAACATCAGCAATAAGGGAGCACGTGTAGGATGCATAAGAAGAATTCGACACATCTGCGGTGCAGTGACTGTCCTCTCCTCCTGACAGCTTCGAAATTGGCTCAGAGCCTTGTCTCTGACCAGCAGCACTTGCCCAAAGCTGCCCTCCCCCAGCGCGCCGGCCTGGGCAAGTGGAGCGAGGAAAGTCTGTGGGTGATCCTACCCACCGCATCTGCGCCACCACAAGACTAGTGGTCACCTACCAGTTCATCCAAGGGATTTCCAAGTTGGTTACTGTAACACTGAATGTTGCCCTCCACTTTGGAGTTCTCGAGCTGGTGAGGATCACATGGTTTGCAAAACGCGTCTGGCCAAACATCCTGGCCCAGAGCCAGCAAGGTTGCAGGTCCGAGAAATGGTGTTACAGATCTTCCACAGCTATGGGAGTGGGAGACCTCCCCACCGACCCAAAATGTCTGGGCCCCGCGCAATCTCAAAATCCTGGACCATGGGCCATGCAGAGACGCGGCAACCAGATGGTTCTCACCGTTGGGAGGCTCGTTCTTAGATGATGGGAACGTCTCAAAATATCATGGGACCCTATGTAACCTCCGCCAGCTCCAACCTGTAACTCTCATTGGGAGCCCTTCCTCTCAGTACAGGAGGCTTCCAAGGTGGTGTGCAACCTGTTGTCTCGGGTGCATAGCGCGAGTGGCATAAAGAGAGATGCGTCAGTGCCCGGGTGATGGCCCATCGATCCCCACTGGTGTCGAGCCTTCAAGGACTGAAGCCGCGAGCTCGAGTAGGCACGCCTCACCCGGATCGACCACCACCAAAACCACCCTCCTTCGCTTAAAAGGCCGTTCTTGTTCCTAGTAGGTAAGGCCAGGAGCTAGGTTCGTAGCGTCCGATCGCTCCGTTCGTAGCGTGCTTAAACCTGGTCTCATGGGCCGATTCACTCCAGGTCCGACGAGAGCCGGCACTCGCCTGCTGGCTGCAGTGCTCCTCCTTCTGAGCCAGGAACTCAGTTCCTGGCATCTCGGAACAACTCGCAATAGTAGCAAAGGGCATCACTAAAAGCTACTAGCTAGAAGCTACCAAGAGCTCCTCGCATTACCACCAGGAACAAGAAGCTACTAGAGAACAAAGGGCATGGCTACTAGGAGCAAGAAGCCACTATAGTAGCTCCTGGCCTTACGACTAGTATATAGCTAGAAGCTACTAGTAGCAAGTAGGCCCGATCACCGAGACTTGGGCAAAAACTCTGCCTTCCTCGGGCAATCCCTTTCATTGGCCGTATCCATCCGCCAGATGGCTGTGGTTAGCCGGCCCTCCTTTCATCCCCCCAAATTCACCGTTGACACCTGGAGATGTGCACCTGACCCAAGGGAGAGAAGGCCATAAAAGGGTGCGCCATCCTGATCAGGGAGTCTCGGTGTACCAAAAGCTCGTCAACACCGGGGTTCTCTTTCTTCAGCCTGCCCAAATGAATTGGGGCGTTTTCCCTGTCCACCTGGGGGTTGTTGGTCGCGTTCTTGACCTCCTTCATGAAGTTCGGATCCTCAGCAACGATTGGACCTCTGGGAGCTCTCGCAGCGAGCCGACCGCCGGCGAGCGACCGCGAGCCGACCGCGAGCCAACCCGTGAGAGCTCTCTTTCAGCTGCGGTCGGATTGCGTGAAGGATCTTCAACTTGTGGAGAAACGGTCGAACATATGCAAACCCTGCGATCTGCTTCGATCTCTTGAAAAGTTTCGTTTCACGTTTCATGCCCCTCCTCAAAAACATAAACGTATCTGTTTATGTTCTTTGTTCTTGCCAGCTCACCTGCGATTTCTCTTCCAACCCATTGCCCCAAGGACCCCCACCTGGGAAGCGTTCACGGCCTCAGTGGGAGGGCCAGGTGAGAGGCTTTACACACTACCCCCCAAAAATAAAGAAGCAATCAATGTCTGACCCTAAGGAGACAACCGAATTACAGTGGCCACACCTGGTAGATATGCATTAAAAATATCCAAAGTTGCTCTTCCCCAATAACAATTCCCTTTTCCATCATTCTTCGACCAAAACATAAAATTCGAAGGACACGCATCCAATTTTGGGCTTTTAGCAGGGTCTTGGACCTCTTATTGATGGACGGTCATCCCAAGTTGCCAAGCGGGGCATCGTGAGCGCACATATGATATATCTTTTGGCTAGCAGTTGCGGGCTCTTGCGACGCGGGCTGCACTCCTCGGCCAACTCCTCAGCCAAATGTCGCTAGCCTCACTCTTGTGGCATGCCACAAGCTGGTTTTGATGCTCCAGCGTGCAGCCACGCGCAGCTACGCGCAGCTACGCGCAGCTACGCGTGCAGCTACACGCAGCTCTGTGCAGTGACTGCTCCACATCCGTCACATCTGCTTCTTCAGCTCGGTGACAAAATCCTTTTGGGGAAGAAAAACATCTTCTAGATTCTAGATACAAAGTCTCGACGAGAAACAAGGATACAAATGCATCAAATATCATCAGGATTCAGCAAACAGGTTTAGGGCAGTCTCACAGTCCACCTCGAAAGACTTGAGCTACAGTGGGGTTCTCACGTTCATCAAATTGAGCTTGGCAGGTCTCCTCCGCCAGAATGCGCGCAACCTCCGTCTTGCCATGCGATTTCACTGCACCATTGAGCTTGTCCATGAGAGTCTGAGCCGCCGTCCAAAAGCCAAAACTGGATAATTCATTTTATACAATTCTTGTTTTTAATAGCTTCTTGTTACTAGTAGTAAGGCCAGGAGCCCATAGTAGCGCCCTTGTTCCTAGTAGCGATGCCAGGAGCCCCTAGTAGCTTCTTGCTCCTAGAAGAATATACGTTCTCCGACACTCTAATCTTATTGAGGTTTCCAGAAGAAAACATCTTTTGATAGTGTCACCTCCCCGGGCGCTTTTGACGACGAAACCCTAAGAAGTGCGCAAGAAATCAGCGGCCTTGAAGGCGGGCGTGGCCCCTGGCTGAAGTAGGCAGACCCTCGTGAAAAAGGACAACCAAACATACCAAAACCAGTGGTTGGAGGGCCTCCTGATTCTTCCACGTGGGCAGTGTGGAATGAGGTCAGGTAGAGCTGCTACGTGACAAATCGCCAAGCACGCGTGCACTGTGCACAATCCAAATCCTTTCCCGCCTGGCGGCAGCTGATTGTCGCAGATAAGTTTCATTTGTGGCTCGGAGCTGTCCTGCAATTTGGTCATGCGACAAAAAAGACAAAAAAAAAAGAGCTCCAGCAGCCCAGAGCCTTCCTATGACTCTGTCCACTTGACATATCACAGAATGACATGAATTTGAATTTTAGTATCTATATACTATATATATAACTGATTAGATTACAACTGTGTAGAATTTAGAATACATCTCACACACACACATATATATATATATAAACCACAGAGGCAATCATCCCGAATTCTGCCACAACAAGCATTCAACATTTGGTCGAATCAAAGAAAATGCTGAGATCTTTGTGCCGTCCCATTCCATCTGTTTCAACCATGGCCCCAATAGGGGCAAGCTGAGGCTATCAAAGGCTCAAAGGCGCAATCGACCAAAAGGAACGAACCTCGAAATAACGACAAAAAAGTTGTCTAACGCAGAAGCTCTCCCCCATGCTTCGACTCACCCCAACACTTCATCACAGCCTCCGAGCTGAAGTCGGTGACCTGTGGAGCAGCTCACGTTGGCTTGAAGAAAATATGTTGCTGATTGCCACGCGACACCACTGCTACTGCTACTGCTACTGCTACTGCTACTGCTACTGCTACTGCTACTGCTACTGCT